TGAACAAACAGACTAATGGTTCACATCATAAGGTACCCCTCCCCCTCATATATAAATATGTGGATTCACAAAGTGCAAAATACAAGCTGTGTGATACAAGGGAGGCATTACAATGTACTGTTTCCCAGGAGGCCATAGTATAGAACTTCACATACTCAAGCAAGCTGGTAGATTGTTTATAATCTCAAAGGTATAATGGTTATGAGCTGGGACAACTATATAAAGAATTAAAGGAATCCAACACCTTACAAAACTTCTTAACGGAGAGGAATAAGGGAAAATGCTTGCCGGATTCTGAATCTGTGTATTTTTTAATGATTTTTCACCGTCTTAGAATTTCAATTTTTTTCCTTTGAAAAAATGAGATTTGCATTGTTTTCCAATTAGAAAAATGAGTAAACATGAATAGCTCGAAATCTAACGGTGAGATTTTGTTTTAAAAAATCATGGATATCAAGGCTAAATATAGCTATACAGTAAACATAAAAAAGCAATGCTTGGACTCTTCATATTCACATAAAAAATTAATTAGTAAATGAGGTTTGATATTTGTGAGAATAAGTTGTACGAGGTGCAATGCTCTACAAACACCAGACTACAGGGTGGATTAGGATCAATGACACACATAAAAATTAAGGATACGTTTCATTACACTCAATAAATAGTTATCACTTTTGACTATATATACATATCTCATGGGAATGTATTTCCATCTGCTCAAGATATTATATTTTAGCTTCGAAAATCACAATCGTTGGAAAATACATTTGTCTCAGAATGATAGGCCACCCTGTAGCAATGTAGCTTTCACTTGAAGTGTACCCTTGAAAATAATGAACTTACTTTCAAATTGGTCTTGCTTTTGTGGTGTATGTGGCTTTTTAGCAAATCTGCCACGCTCATTTCTTTCCAGGACCATCATCTTGTTCAAATGTATCACTTTACGCGCATGTATAGATGTACAGATGACATAGATATACATATAAATTATATATTGCACCTGTATTTACTTACATGGGAATATACAGTATTCCCTTTGGAAAAATGCAAATGCATGGACATATATTTTCATCTTATATATGACTTCAAGCTAACATATTATTTCATATTTATATTTTCATAGTTAGTTTAACATGAATAATAGATCCATGAGAACAATATTCTTTGTTTTTTTTAAATTGATGGGTTTACTGTGAATTCAATAAATTACAATTTGCAAGGGGTAAGTATACTGTATGAGCTGGCTAGTGGCTTTGTATTTTATGTTAGGCCAGGGTAATTAAATTAGTTGTTTCTCTTTCTTCTATTTTTCAAAATTGATACGGGAATGACGGTTTTTATATTACCTTTTTTGTCTATCTAAAATGCTGATGAGGGACGTTTTTTTTAAATAACTGTAAAAACAAATAACTAATTTTTAAGGAAATAAACTGGGTTTATGTTGAATTTATATGTTGAATTTAGCCTACTTTACTGGTATATTTGATCATATATCAGTACCAAGATATTGTCAATTATCCTGATCCATAAAAATTTTAAAAAAAGTGTTTCACACGCCATGGATGCGCGCGAGGTAAGGTGTTTTTTCTCAGAAATGGCAGAAAAAAGGTGGAGGGGGATTGGGCCACACGCGGGCAAGAATGAGAAACAACTAATTTAATTACCCTAACCTGAGTTCATCCATGTGGTACGTTTTTACAGCTAAGTAGTGTTTTTATATGCAGCTTAATAGCATAAAATATGTTAAATGAAGCATATGGTGTGGATAAGTCGTGTGACACACAAACTGACCAAATACATGAGGGTATTAGCTACTTTTCACATAAACCAAAGGAGGACAGTGCTTTTATTTCAACTGGGAGCTTACCTCCACACGACTGATCATGTGATCATGGTGGTGGTCCCCTTTAAGGTAGCCTTCTAAGAAAGCCATAATATGCTAAACTGCAACACGATTGGTTGATTCCAGTTTAAAATTAGAAACAAACCAATTTCAAATTATTCCATACTGGTATTACCAAAAAAGAAACATAAACCCAATAATATAACATATATACAAAGTGTGATATTTATACAGTGTTTTTACAGTCAAGGTAATCAAGCTGAATTCATTATAGCAAGAGAAATGCGAGTGGACTGTAATTACCCCATACAATTGAATATACAGCATGAATACTATATATGGTCATATAAACTGAAAATAAGGTGTGTCACACATTGTAGTGTTTGCAAACTGATGTGTACACTTTTTGACCTAAGTTCACTTCAGCTCAAAAAAGGGACCTGTCAATTTCTAACATTTTATAATGTCCATTAAGGAAAAGTCAATTAACCAAGTGTCTCAAGAATAGCATTGTCCATTAAGAAGGAGGCTGCAAGGGCACTCTTTACAGCATTTATAAAGCTGGGATTTATCTTGGAATTAAAAGGCTGAAGCCTAGTCCCAGATTTGTGAACAATAATTAGGGCATTGTTTACCTCACCTTCCTCAAGAAGGCTCATGAGCTCATTACTTGCCCCAAACAAACCATCATCATCATGCCCTGTCATTAACTGGCCATCGACTGTCAATCTATAAGCATAAGGTGATACACCGGTGTTCAAAGTTGCCTTCATGGCGGTAAGAGCATTTTCAGCACTGTTGATGGTATTGACTGTTGCTATAGATGCAATAAAACCATCACAGGGTTGTCCTGAAATAGAATCAGTTTGAGCACTAAATACCTTAACCGGCATTTGAAGGGGAGACTTGGAGAATGTAGGTGACACAAGGCCGTTTGAATCATAGAGACGATCCTGAACAAGTTTTACTGCCTTGGGATTTGCATCTGTGGTTTTCATGTTCTTGAAGTTACCATACTGTGCATCACGCCTTAACTGCATATCCCTTACCTAATCATAAATGGTAGATTTCTTCAATCTGTAGTATTCTATTCAAATATGAATAGGTGCATATTGGAGAATGAAAGAAATAAAACAAAAAGTAGTAATCCAATGAAACAGTAACTCCCTAAAGTGTTTAGCCATTTAAATGCTGATGAAAAACGCAAACAAAAAAACGAAAAATCGATGTCGTCTAAATGATACGTATGTAAATGTCAATCTCCTAAATATTAAGATTGGCAATTGCTTTACAAGGACATGCCACTGTCATATTTTCAAAGAATAATACGTAATGTTTAATTTTTCTCAGTTGTTAAACGAACAGTTTCAATCATCATATCACCGTAGCGACATTCAATATGACAAAAAAGCTTTTCAAAATTCAATGGTATTTCACCTTGGGTAATGACAAGAGAAGGCTCACAACATTCAGTGATGCGGGGAGACGACTGGGTCGATTGTAGTATGATATTTCAATTCAACGACGATAAGGCAATTGCCGTATTGATAGTACGCCAATAGTTTAATATTCATTTTATTATATACTTATTTTTAAAAACAATTCCTGATTTCGAGCTCGAATTTAATTGTATAACATCCGTGGTAAGTACAGTTCTATAGTATTTTCGGAATAATGATTTTCAATTTAGTGGCATACAACCTTTTGTTTTTCTATATCGAAAAATAAGTAGAACTTTAAAAGCTTCAGTCACATTTGTTCAATGCGACCACACGTCGATCGTATTTCCCTGAAATCAGTAAAAAAAAACATAGGAAAACTACAGTCGACTTAGGTCACCTTGCTGTCTACGTACACGACATATCCAATTTTTACAAGGCGTAGAGTCGGAGTTATAACTTTTTCTTTCCTTTGGTCACCATAGATATCAAAAAGCAGCAGCCAAACCGTAGGTCTCACGACGGCCGTACGTCGGGTTCACGGTCGACTTGCGGCTGCGCTTGGATTTCATAGGTTACAATTGACCTTATCGAACCATAGAACCCCTTGTGGATGCCTTCAAGAAAAAGTACGCACGTCGTAGGGCCGCCCTACGCTGATCGTGCGTCATCATTTATCAGCCGTACGGGAATCGTAGTTTTTCCTCATAATCAAGATACGCCGTACGGCTATCTTAGCAAATGTGACTGCTAAATTATCTGACTGCAGAAATACTTAGGCAACCGTAGAAATCCTACTTACCACAGAAATGATGGACCGTACGGTCCCCGTAAAAATGTGACGTGAGGCTAAGAATCCATGATAGTAATTGAATACGGTTTTAAAATTTAATTTTAAAATCTTAATTTCTTTGAATACCTGTGTTAAAGATAAACATAAATGCAATGAATATTAAAGTACGAACACGTATTTTTGTAATGAGACTAGCAAATTAAACCATTGAATTCTTGGAAATTCAAGATGGGTTGGTTGAATTAATTTTATTATGTTTTATTCAAATAGTTTGCTTTCGCCTGATAGAATTAGCATTCTCTGTTCGCATTTAGCGCTAGACCTTATAAAAGTTAAAAGTCACGAATCCCAGATTGTTTCAAGTGTAAATAAAGAATAAATCTAACCCGCATTCCATGTCTAGATAGGTAAAAAGCAATTCCCAAAATGCCGGCGTTAATATTCTATTGAAATCGTTCTTTATTATGGGTGGTATATACGTATTCTTTTAGTTCCATTGAAATGATTTCTTTGGCTTTGGAATGGCAACAACTCGGCATTCATTTTTTGATTCAAAAATGGCGCCACAAAACTTTTGGAATGCCAAGGCATCAATCTGGCATCAATGACGTCATAACAATGTCGTAAAGAACCACTTTACGGTTGAAATGGCAGCTCCGTGGTCCAGTTCATATGCAAAACCCGGGGCTTAATAACAATTAAAAGGATAATGATAGAACAATAAAACTAAGTTGGATTGAAAGATATATCTTTATTCTAACTTATTATCAAGTTTAAGGGACAAAACTTCGCATTCCCTTTAACATCTGCCTTCAACAATGTATTTAATATGATTCACTCTGATGATATATTAAATTGATGAATGCCAAAGAAACCTCCTGAACCAAAGAAATGTGTCATCCTCTAAATAATTATATTATTTTCAGAAGTCTCCTAGCTGTAACCATGGCAACAAGAAGATCGAGAATCAGCATAAAACCCAACTTGAGTCGTGGTCCAAGAGCAGGTCCAAATACAACATCAGCCAAAACTCCACAAAGCCCTGTAAAGGGAGCTCCTCCACCTCGCAGTGCAAAAAGGAAAGAAATTAAAGAATCGTCCAGTGTATTACAAAATAAAGAGAAAGATTCATTAGAAAAAGATTTAGATGAAGTGAAGACAGATGATACAACTAAAGGTGATTCAAAGAAGCAGAATGTAGTTGTAAATGAGACTTCTGAATTAGATAAAGATCAAAATGTTGAGGTGAAAAAGTGCACCCCTTCAGTTAGCGCTATTGAAAAGCCAGAAACATTATCCTCCAAGGTTGTCCAATCTGACAACACAACAGAGAAAATCAAAGAGACTGTAACTGACAAGGGTGATGCTGGTTTTGTCAAACCAAAGGACGATTCATCTAATGTTGAAAAAAAAGTAAATGATGTTAAAGTCAATCCACTTAGATCAAGACGCACTTTAACAAAGGCCAGGCCAAATATCTCTGAGGCAGGGAGGCCAAGCAAAAGAATAAGGTAAGTAATTTTATATTTAGTGTTTATTTTAATGACATTGTTATCATTTGAAGATACAGTTTATTTCAATTTCCATGAATCAGAGACATATAGGGACTTTATTCAATATGAATGCCTTATCAAGTCTAAGCTCTATCCTGGGTAAATGTTAAGTATAGGGGATGACTTTATTCCAAGCAACATGAAGTTTTTCCTTCCAGTGTGTCCTTTTATCTGATCCTAATAAAACATCTCAAAGAAGAACCATGATATTTTATCAATTGGTGAAGTTATTTATAATAATTGAGGATTATGAGCGATGATCTATACACTTGATTATTTACCAGAATGTTAACTCATTGCTGATTTCCAGGCACTCATCAGTGAGTAGTGAAACCCATGAAGATGAGGAAAAACCCCGGAAACATCCTCCTCCAGTACAACGTGTCGCAGTGCCATCAATAAAACCTGGGTGAGTAAAACCTTGGAATACAGTTGTCATATTCAAGTACATTGTACATCTATTGATGAATATCAGTAGTAAACAGATAATAGATTTTTACACCATAAATATATTCCAATGACTTTGTCCCTAGTGAAGTTAAATTTGATAATAAACCTTACATTGGCTTCACAGGCAAGATGGTCCTGCTGCTAGTAAGACAACTCCCACTGTACCAAGCAAGAGGAAATCCAGCGAAACTAAGATAGCGACACTAACAGGGGTGACAACTGAAGACCATAGACAACTACCAGATGCATCAGCTAAGCACTGTGAGTCTTATGATGGGGCTAAAGAGATGTTGAAACATGCAGAGAAACGTCCAGCTGATACCTACCACGATAATGATCTCAACAACGCTAAAGAATCGCTTGTGAGTAAAACGGAATTTTGAACTACTCATACCAGCACTGGTGCTACACCTTATTGATTTTGACAATTGGCACAAACCTACTCGAATCTTCCTTTCCACACATTTAAAAATAAAGTAAATCATGAAAATTTGGCAAATTTTGACCAGCAAGAGGTCACCAAAGTTTTGGGTGGTCATCTTGTTTTCTGGCTTTTTAAGTTTTGAATGAATCTTGTCATCTACATTCCAGTGAAACGATCATCAGATTTTCTTTAACCTCTTGACTACCTGGAGTGACGAGATATCTCGTCACCTCAGAAATGACGAGAAAATCTGTCACAATATATTTCACTAAAATTGCTCTTATTTGAACAATTTTCATCCAATTTTAGAATTTGTAGAAATGATCTCCGCCGTCTGATTTTACTAAGTTGAGCATCTAAAGTTGTATATGAATTTAGTTTAATATCAAAAGGTGGCAAAAATGAAAAATTCTCTGGTTTCAACCGATTTTAGAAACTGGGATTCAAGAGGTTAAAGACAAATCCATATTTACTGTCTACTTAGTTTTGTGATTTTGATCACATCATGTTTCTAATTCTGTCTTGGTGCACATGTTATATTCTGCTAAAGATGTCAGTTTTCACAATTTTCCAAAATTATAAATTAATTTTGAACTGGTTGTTCTAGTGCCACAAGTTCTGATTTGCAATTCTATAATGCATGTGCTTTTATATTTTATTCCAGGAGCTAGCAGCCATCAAGAAAAGGAGAGCTACCATAGAGAAAGAATCCACCATATTCCCCAAAAGGAAGTTGCAGAAAGTCATCACAGTTGATGAACCACCTGATAGAGCCAAGATTACTATGAAAGACCTCATTTATAGGAAAACTAAAAATAATCCAATGATGTAAGTGGAATTCTACTAAGTCAATTTGGCACTGTCTTACTAGGGTTTTCGGTTTGGTAAATCTCCCTGTTTCTATTGCTAAAGGAAGTATACCAGTTCTTAAAATAATTAGAGTTGCATTTACATAAGAGTCATAACCCATAACTGTAAAAGGGAAAGTTTGTTTTAATTCTAATTTGTTAAAGCCATGATTGCAATCCATCAGGATCAAAATTTTCAGACCCAAGCAGAGAATTCAAGCCCCTGCTAGGAGAGCATCCATAGCAGAATCTGTCGGCACACCACAGCGGGACCCAATCGAGAAAGAGAACATTAGTGTGTCTGACCTTGAAGATGATGAACCCATGCCTGTTCCTCAGGTAAAGATAGGACCAGATGGCAGCATTATACTCAATGAGGCAAGGTAAGATATGCCATAAATCATCAAATCTTTGTCTTTATTCCTTGAATGTTTTAGTCAAACAATCAGTCCTGCTAAGAGTCTAATACAAGACAAAGGAGAAGTCATCATCTCATGTCATCTGTATTTGCATTTTGATATTTGTATTTGTAGTGTTACTATTGACACAATTCCTACTAAGAGCCTAAGACAAAGGAGATGTCATCATCTCATTTCATCTTAATTTGCATTTTGATATTTGTATTTGTAGTGTTACTATTGATGCCAGTCCTGCTAAGAGCCTAATAGAAGATACAGGAGAAGTCATCATCTCATTTCATCTAAATTTGCATTTTGATATTTGTATTTGTAGTGTAACTATTGATGCTAGTCCTGCTAAGAGTCTAATAGAAGATACAGGAGAAGTCATCCATGAGGAGGACTCCTATGTAACATCTGCTAGCTTCAGAAAGCGTGTCACTGCTAAAGTATGGACAGCAAAGGGTATGTTGTACACATTGATCTTTTGGTTGATTTGTAGTATAATCTGTTCAAGAGAAATCAGTTTATAGATCAGTTTGTCTACACGTGCTCATTGTTCGAGATGGGAGTATTGAAAAATTGAACAGAAAATGTTTGCACATCTCACATCTTATCACAGTATTTGTTTAATTCTTTAAAGAGTTTATTCTTCTATTGGTTTCTTGTCCACACTTTTGAGGAGTGCCCAAAAGACATCCGTTTTATGTGTTTTTAGTTTTTATATTCTATCCATTCAAAATCAATACATATTTTAAATTATTCTTTCAGAAACGGAGAAGTTCTACACAATGTTGAGCTATGTTGGGACAGACTTTTCTCTGATGTCGAATGTGTTCACTAAGAGGAAAAGAATAGAACTGAAGAATAAGTTTAAGAGGGAAGAGAGAGCAAACAAGGGCAAAATTGACAAATACTTGAGTAAGATATCATATTTTTAAATTACAGCAATGGGCAGTCTGGAAAACAGACTGTTCCAGAAATTACTTCCAGTTTTCCACTTTTTATGACATCCATCATTTGGCATTTGGTGTTATTGTCTGTATGATGGAACATTTTTATGATATGGCGATCACAAGTATAATGTTCAGATTGACGTGAAACACATACAGTATTGTACATATTAGTACATGTTCTCAAAGCACTCAGCTTTTACATAGTAATTGTTATCATAGCAACATGTGAGATGGAAATAAATTATATAATACACATATTTAATATTTCTGAAAATTTTAGATTATTATTGCAACTGTGCAACTAGGTGGAATTGATTTGTTGTGATGTAATCTTCCTATTTTTTGTTTGAGGCCAGGCAGGTTGTAGCAAACTTCACTAATCTATTGAACAATATTCGGTGGATTTCACCATGAAGCAGTACAACTGAAAACATTGTTTATATTGTAGAAACAGCAACTTTGTGGCATACAAGATGTATTATATTTTCATTAAAACAATATATTTTCACTATGTTTATTTTCAATGTTAGAGAATGGTTTCATTATTCTATTTTTGTATATATTCAAAGTCTGCTATTCTATAGTATTTAAAACATTGTAGGAGACACAAAGAAGTTTGACATGTCAATATTTGAGAAGTACACAGATAAGGATGAGGAGCCAGAAGAAGATAAGGTGAAAGAAAAGAAAGGGAAACTTCCTAAGACTAAGAAAAAGGCTGGTGATATTGGAGCAGAAGAAGGTATAATATTTCTTGCTCATCTCAGTTTTGAATATATGTGGCATTTTCCTGGCATCTAAAAACTTGGAGCTATAGACTTATGAATTTTGAAAACTCAAATTGGCAAGCCAGGTTTAAGCTAAAGGTGATACAGGACATATTAAAAAATGCAACAAAAAATAAATTGCAAAACCACAAAACAAGCGATACTAGTAACTACTAGTACATTGATTTCTCCTCTTTTCAACGGTATGTCATTTATTCACATGTGGTCATGGTTAGCTGAATAATCATTCCTTTTGTACAATGGGCTAAACTCAGCTAAGGACCAAGTTTAGGACTTTTAAATCCAGTGCAAGGGGCCATGTGTTATTGGAAGAAGATTTAGCATAAACAGTTAGGTTTTGATAGTCATACTCATGCAAGAATACATCTCATACCTCTCCACATGGCCACTTTGCACACAGAGATAGACTCATCTCCCCATGTCATATGTAGCTCTTTGAGTCCATTTGTGGGTTTGGGCGAAGAACAGCAATTCTTTCTATAAGTGTGGAGGGTAGGTGAACGCTTTGCTCTTGAGATAACCCCAAAGGGGAAAAAGTCACAAGTCAGGAGATTTTCCAAGAGCACCGGCCCCTTTGCCAAGCTTTGCAATGTCTAAAACTTGGTCCCGAGCTGACTTTAGCCCACTATGCAAAAGGAATGATTATTGAGCCAACTATGACCATATATGAATAGATGACATATCGTTGAAAATAGGTTAATTTGTAGCTTCGTAGTACATTGAATGATATTGATGCTGTCATCACTGGTTTTGTGATTTTAATTTTAAGATTTACTTGTTTGTTGCATTTTTTGATACACACTGAAGATTGATATGATTGAACTTCATTTTAAGTTTTAGTTGAAAGATGTCTAAATACATACCTTAATTAATACCTTACCTACTTCATGTTTGGCTATGTCCTTGACTGTCATACCTCTTTTGTTTAGATGAAGACCTAGTGTTGAGTTCAGATGATGAAGTTGCTACTGAGAAACCTCCTGGAGACTATCAATTAGGTGACGATGATGGACATCGCACACTGCCCAAACTTGACATATCCACAGTTGATGATGAGGCAGAGGAGCGAACACTTTCTACCATGATGCGACCAACTAGATCAGGCAGGAAGCCCAAGAAAGTTGTTCTGAATAAAACTGAGGAGAAGACTGCCAAACCAAAGACAGCCTTTGCCTTATTGAAAGAGATGAGAGCTAGGAAGAATTCCGATACCTCAGAAAAACAATCATTTGCAGGTTTGATATCTCAACAACTTAGATATATCAGCTTCAGTTTCAGTTGCCTTAGAATCCAGTGATTACATGTACATCCAATCATATGCTGTCCATGTTTTGTGATGGCGGTTTGCATCTGGTGTTCAGCGTCTGTAACAAATGGCAGGTGGTGACATTTTGCATGTTAATGCCTTGTTGTATATACAATGTTTTATATCAAGATAAACTATTTGAAACCATTCTATTAGTGAACAAGTCTGCTGTTTCGATAAATATCTTCAATCCCATATGAAGCTAGAATTTTGTTGCTTTTAAAATGTTTATTAAGTGTTATCCTTCAAAGCTCTCAATTGGTTTCCAGGATACAAATCAGTTTCCTGTCGGCCTGGAACATCAGACAGTCACTTTCAACCACCAGCACCTAAGGGGCCTATATCACCACCTGGGCGTTTCATCAACATCTCACAACTCAGCGAGGGTAACCTTCAAAATGTCTCTCCCGGACAGTTGGTGTTTGTGCAAACCGCTGGAAACCATGTCCAGAAGACACCAAACAAGGATAGTTTGATCCATGTTTATATGGTGTCACCTTCAGCAGGCCTACAGGAACAAGAAGGGGCTCCTTTGGGAGTTTCTGGACAAGGTACTTCAATAGTAACCCAAGGCCATGGGGCTCATTTAGGGACTCCAAAGAATGTGACACAGGGTCCTGGTGCAAGTCTTTTATATCAGTCTGAATCTACAGGAACTACAGCCATCAAATCACAAGTAGTATCATCAAACTCTCAATCCTTTGATGAAAATGGAGTAAAAACGTTGACCACTTTAACTTCATCAAATGCAAATCCTCATACTCAGGTGTATCAATCCAGTACTGCTGCAGCCATTTCTTCTACTAACAAGCCTGGAAAATCTAAAATTATAGTGCCATCTTCCTCTGAATGTGATAGATCAGAAGCATGGGGGGTTCTCAGCCCAAGTCTTGGTAAAGTCATTCCCACCATAGTCATTGATGCTGAAACTTCTACAATTAAATCCCCTGATCAAAATCAAAATGTTCACAATTCTGAAGCAAAATCACCTTCTAGAACTGGCCAAGATCAACATTATCCAAGCCCCACCCAAACTGCACCAACTGCACCAGATGCAGCAGACAATGTGAGTGAAAATATTAACACTGGACCTTCTGGTGCACATGTTGAAAACAAGGATAGTGCATTTAATAAAAGGGACAATGAAGCTCTGTATACAGAAGAAGATTTCATAAAGGCAAACCCAGTTGTTGAGTTCTTAAGTGAAAATGACAAAAATATAACGGAATCTGTCGCTGTTGGGGATGAAATACTAATCAAAGATACTCCATCTGTAGCTTTAGACACTGAGATTCAGATTGAAAATGACGTTCAAACAGCAGCAATTGAGGATGAGGTAATGATTGAAGATGAAGTGACATATGTTGAGACAAGTGATTATACTGTTGTTGAATCTGAAGAGATTGTACAAGAAGGTGTTCAACTAGAAGAAGAGGTGACTGTTCCTCTACCTGAAGGCCGGAGAATGTCCATGGATACGTCGTAGACTCGGCTGTCCAGAGTGCAATACCATTTTGTATCATGATTAGCCTCAGGGATATTCATTTTAAAGACATCTACAACGAATTAAGTAACACTCTCTAGTGGTAAAAGTTCATATTATGTTTAGTTAAGGTCCGTAGATTTTCGGAATAAATAATAAATCAAATATTTGAGATTGTCTGTTTCATGTGTAGTCTGCTACCCTCAACATTTTCACTTGTTAATCCTTGTTAACCCTTCAACTGTTAGGGAGGCAGATCTGTCCCCCTCAGGATTTTTTTTGATAACTTTTCTCGTAGTTTATCTTTTGACCTGAAAGGAGTGGTATCAATATGGAGAACTTTTTGAACACACGTTTCTCTTAAACCAGTCATAACAAAATCTAAAAATTTTACACATCGTCAATTTAATGGTCATCTTTTGAATGGTAACAGTATAATTTGAAAAATTTATATATACTTTCATCTATATTGTTTTAGAAAACACATCAAACACTTGTTTTGTTTTTGGTATCATGTTTCCAGAGTGAAATGAAACATCTTTCCGAACCTCATTGGAACAAAACGACATAAACACAACATGTTTAGGTCTCTCAATATTGTAATTGTATAAATTACATTTTGGTTGATTTTAAAAAAGTATCTTGTTAATAAAATAAAAGGTTTATCTTGATTTTTATCTATTTTGGGGGATTTTGTTTTTATTTTTTGAATACTTTTTTAAAATCAACCAAAAATTCCTTTGTATAACTATAATGTTGAGAGCTCTAAAAACATGTTGTATATGCTATTTTGTTCCAACAAGGTTCGGAAAGACATTTTATTTCATTCTCAAGATTTGGTAGAAAGGAGCAAAAACAATTTTACTAAAAAACAAAAAATGTTAAAGGGTTCCGATTAGCATCCCGTATAAAAACAATATGGCGGCTCCAGGCGAATCAACTGGATCAGTCCATTTTTAAGAAATAAGGGGAGTTCTGTAAAATCCAGTTTATTGAAATTGTCTTTGGGATAAAGTAATCCGTTTATAACGATTTTGAAAACGTTATCCAAAGAGTGATTGCGTTCAAAGAATACATGTACAACAGCCAATATAAATCCTTGTATTAGAAACCGGTTTGTCTTGCTTTGTTTCATTTGTAGGATATTTCATATGCCAAGCTGTGTGCTATTACGTTATGGGGAAATTTAGATGCCAATTTTTCCTTATTATACACAAATAGAAGATCCTGAAACTTCACCCATAAATGTGGAATTGATTTGTCAAAATAAAAATCACCCTTTTATAAATGTGTGACGATCTATAATATACTTATGCTATATAACAGTTAGAGGTGTTGACACAACGAGCTCGAACCTGTGAACCCTTGAGTATTATTCCGGGATCGGGCCTTTAATACTAAACGGTGAGCAACACCAGAAACGAGCGTTCGATTTGCTAAACGATATGCGTCACCCTTTAACAAAAACAGTAATACGAGGGTCGATCCAGATATTCTTATAAAAATGCTCTCATTTTTTTATTTTTGGGAGTTACAACATCAAACTTGCACAAAATGAGGATAATTTAATTGCTCATAAAATATGTAAGTTTAGTCAACATACGGGCACTACTGCGTTGCTAGGGTAAAAAATTGGTAACCATGGAAATGGGACCTGGGACAAGTAGCTTTTCTGTCTCTTCATATAAAATATTTCTAAATAATTTTCGCATTAAATTGATGTCAATCAGTCAACATTACATGAAATACCGTGTTTTTTTACAGAATGTTTTCAATGATTGATTTAAGAGAAAAACATTGTTGAATTCAGTTCTCCATATCGATACCACTCCTTTTCTGTCTTTTCTTAAAATTGAATTAGGCAATGTTTTAGCGAAAAAATTGTGACTAACCCCCTAGGAAAGTAAGAGCGGGTCAAAGTTGGTGAAGTAAAATTGTCACTTTTTGACTTGAAAAGAAAAACCCTTATGTTCTTAGAATATGAATTTCTCCATTAATAATGGCTCAATGGCCGGTCTGCCCCCCTGACCGTTGGTGTAATTCTCTACAGCCTAACCGTTTAAGGGTTAATATTCCACCGATAATGTTTGTGATTGGGGTATTGAGAAGCTATTAGTCGGTCCCCAATTCCCTGCTGCGTTATCCTTGTGTTCTGACGATAACTGTACTTTTTGCATTTGGTTCATTTTAATGTCACCACAAGTTGTGACATATTATTATAGTCTCCAAATTTTGTGACAGCGATCGGCGTTTGGCGGTCCGTGTTCTGCGGTTATTGTTTGGCGTGTGTAACAAATGGAAGGTCGTGACATTTTGCATGTAAGATGCCTTGTTTGCAAGGGTTTGTGTTTTAATTGCAAGGGTCAGTATTAAAGGGTTAAAGTTACTTACAAGTCGCAATTGGATTTAAAAATATTTCACTCGGACCACAAGCGCTGTGTCTTACAGTAGCTCCATGACAAAATAAAAATTATTCCATTTATTCCCAATTTAAAAACATTATTCAATAAACTCGAAAGCACTCCACGAGTGCAGATATTCTACCGAATTCATCACCCTACAAACAAGGCATCTCTACATTCAAATCCTCATACCCAGGTGTATCATATTTTTGATTCATATTTTGTTCACATTTTTAGATTTTTGTCACCAATAAAGTGATGACATATTGTTATAGTCTCAAACTTTTTTGCGGACGGTGTCCGGCGTCTGTAACAAATTACGGCGTCTGTAACAAATGGCAGGTGGTGACATCTTGCATGTTAATGCCTCGTTTGATATGGTAATCTATGACAGATTCAAATAGGGACTGAAGAATGTTCACATTGAGGTGCTCAGATTGGAGATGTGTACGAATATGTAGGATTTAATGCATTCAGTAAACGTGCATATGAGTAAAACCTTTTTGTAGACACTCTTCGTGTTTCTTGAACTGGGCCGATATTAGATCGAGGGCGAAAGACTTAACAAAAAATCGGAAAATTCAGCAGTCAGTCAGATTTTTTACGCCCACTGTAAATGCTAGCTACGCTGATAAACTCACCAAGACTGACCCTATATCATATATAGACATACGTTAAAGGGGTTGAAGTATGTTTAAAATTGATTTTGCTTAATAAGAGTAAAAAAAACCTTTTCACTAGATACCTGATTCCAAGCATTCTTGCGTCCTCGATCGACCAACTTCTTATGTCTAAACAATAACACTTACGCTGAACAGGGTGGTACAACTATATGTCATTAGGAAGGTTAAGAATAAGATACACGTTTTTCAGAGAACTTGGACGTAAATGTGTTTAAAAACTCCTTATAAGGATTAGTTCTCCCCCTCTGTATTCAACTTTAATTAATTGCCCGATTTAAAATAGTTAAGGAAAAGGTTAAAGTTAGGTTCCTGGAAAGAAATCGAGAGTGGGACAGTTATCCATGAGGGTCATCACATTGAACGATCATGTACACATTCTCTTAAAAACGTAAAGATTAACCTCTCCATTGTATACATGCGGAACAAGTTACACTTTCTCATTAACAAATGATAAGGGTTTCGACCTCCAAATTTTTGTCTGATAACACCCTTTGTCGGTACTGTTGGATTTGTTTGACAGGGGTTTGGTGCGTCTCATATATCGAAAACTTTTCCTCATACATGAAAAATCAGTTTTCGGAAAATGGGCCTAATGTGTGAAAAATAGGCGTGAGCCCGCATTTTCAGAAAAGAAGTCTCAGAATGTTTCCTATTGACAGCTGAAATACCAATTAAGGGCAATTCATAAAGTGAACTTCATCCTAGCCTACCTTTACTCCCCCTCCAAAAGTTTGCCAAATTGGAGTTCCCTTCGGACTGCGTCTGAAAGCTATACCCTTTGCATTCGTTCGACTGCGCTTCTTAAGAGAGCTTCTTCTTCGGGGAGTTCATAACTAGACTCAGCGCCTGTTTATGTTTGGCGGTTTTAACAAGTTTATCTACTCTTTTATGAAATTCCAACCTAGTTAAAGTATTGAGGAATAAAATTAACATCCAAACCTAATCACAGGTTTGTATCGAAAGATTCGTCCGCTGTGACGGAGCACACACAATTTATTTTTTAGCTCATATGTTTCGTAATACCAAAGAAAATTACTTACTCCATGCAATGGATCTATCATTTGCGGGTGACCTTCACCTCTGTTTGAAGTCCAATAACGCTGGGAGGAAAAGCTATTGAAATGACGCCGGAGTATCATACTCCAAAATGTACCATTTCTTGTTTAACTTTTTAATGACACGATATATTGACACGATAATATTTACATGTTTTCAGTATAACTATGAAGGTATTATGAGATGTTGATGTATTTGATCTCTTTAATCTTTTTTATAAAAAATAATTTTCAAATTTGATGTCCGCTGTGACGGAGCAGTTGCAACTGTGAACTGTGAAACTGCTCCGTCAAAGCGGACAAAAAAAAAATAATAATATTATCGTGTCACTATATCATGCCATTAAAAAGTTAAAAAAGAAATGGTACATTTTAGAGTTTGATACTCTGCCGCCGTTTTCAATAGCTTTTATTCCTTAGCGTTCTTGGACTTCAAACAGAGGTGAAGGTTACCCGCAAATGATATATTCATTGCATGAAGTAAGTTTTTTTTATATAACGAAACATACGAGTTGAAAAATATATTGTGAAGTAATTGTTTTTATGAAAAACAGCATGCTCCGTCACAGCTGACAAATCTTTCGATACTAGCCTGTGCTAATGCTGATTTAACACGTTATCAAACGGCGACGCCCATTTTCCAGACCCATGAAGGGAGGGGGTATATTTACGTGAACTTTAATTTGGGTTTTCACGTAATTCAAGGTAGATAAGAAGAATAACAATTTGTATATGTTTTATTGGCTATTTATTGCTATGATTTTTTATAAAATTACAAAGACTATTTGCTTACACGAATCGAATATAAACATCGAATAAAATTGTTACAAAACCAGAGAAAGAAAGCATCATCTATATTTTTGAATATATTTTGGCTTACGATTTCCTTTATTGTATTTATAATATTGAAATGATCCATCGTGTCGTAAATTACTGGGATACATACATGCTTGATCATGTATTCGATAGTGATTTGAATTCGAAGGATTTTCACATTTTTGCATATAGTATTGTGTCTATCATGCCACCGTTGAATAATATCACTGAGATCTTAAACTCTAACATCTAATCTGGAAATGTCCCGAACATTGGTAAGTCAATTGCAAGTTTTCCTTCAAAGACATACTTTTTAAACTCTATGAGTAGGCTAATTCTAATTAAAAGAGATGTTTTGATTTACTGCTGTTATCTCAGCATACTGCAGTTAAAGTGGGCAAAGTGGGACGATTTTTGTTCTATTTGCGCATGACGTCACTATAAAGACCATCATTCGGATTACTAACTGTGTGTGATTTGACTGGTGTCCACAGATGTTTGAAATGGTTATATGTATTCCACAATATCGCAAGTATGTGCTTGCTTTGCCTCATCCATTTGTGGACCTGAGGTTGATGATTTATCATCAGATTTTTCACAATGTGCACCGGGTATGGAGGAAGATTGCTCAGAATTAGACTCTACAGCAACATTTGGCGACTGAGGAGTCTTAGACTTATCAAATATAATAAGATCATCTGGGGAAGTTTTCTCTGAAGTACTATCTCTATCTGCTTTAATTAACTGAACAACATCAGTCCCCTTTTTAACAGTATTATCATTTTCCTTAGCAGTATCTCCCCATGATATTCTCTTAGTAACTTTGCCTGTCGTAACAGGTGTTGAATGAGGCGTGACGTCATCACCTGAAGAATCTATAAAATGTATCCCCTCCTCTGATCGCGGCCATACTAAATACTCAACGTCTTCATCAATCAAAGGCGTCCTTGATGACGTAGAATAGTTCTTACAAAGTTGACCTGTAAAACACAATTATATTAGAATCAATTGTTGGATAGAAGAATGTTGAGCGAGACTGAGATTACCGTATTTCCAATAATTTAGGGCTGCTTTAATTGGTATTTTGACCTTAGAAATCAAATAGACACATACTAATCTGACAATATTCAAATTTTGACCGTGCTTATTTTCTGCATTTTTGGTATTGCACATGATTAAATATAGAATAAGATGGTGTCCGATGAGAGAGTTGTCACCGAAAATCAGAAAAAATTGTATTTTAGCTTTCACATTAATTTTACAATCACTACAAGTTTTAAAAAATCATTACAAATCAAAATAAAATGGACCCAAAATTACTGGAAACACGGCATATAAAATCGACAACCTCATATTTTGTTTGAACAAATGACTTATTTTGTAATAAGAGCTCCGAGTTCTTAATATGGCTAGAAAAAGAAGACAAACCCATCATATTCCGGTATAACCAGAAATTGTATCGATTCCTTTACGGGTCTTTTAAATCCAATTGAGACCATTTCAAAATACTATCTGACGCTTTAAAATTCGATTCCAACATATTTTTTATTAGCTTTATCAATCGTCAGTTAGACATGTACAAATATGAACACATCAACACCAATCAATGTTCTAATTTCAATATGATTCAATATGGTGAATGCTCTCAATTGTTTATGTTTATGTTTATGTATCTTTATTTCCACCTATGCAGATGAGTACATAATAATTATAAAGTTAATGTGGCAATATTAAAAATATAAAAATAAAAATATATATATTTACAACGCAAACTGTGTTGATTTAACAGTTTATAGAGCTATAGCTGCAGCTCTTGTTTTTAACATGTGTTTGACACTTAACATTATCTTCACATACATTCTGTAGTCTAATGCTTCATTTTTTCCTAGTAGGACCTCCATTTTTTCAACCATATTATATCCATCAAATATTCTGTCACTTAAATCATAAATGTATTTATTGATAATATCAGCGCTAGCATGGTCATGAAATAAAAGCTGACACTATGGTGCTGCTGCCGGGAACAAACAAGAAAAAGGTTTTGAACAATAATCTAATTATCTTAAAACCTTATTTAACAAATACCTAACCAACATTTTCAGATAATTATGTCGGACAAGACCATGCGATGCAACATTAAAATAGGTATCAAACTTTGTTACTTATAGATATGGATAGTTATAGATGTATATGGATTTGGGGTGGTTTAGTGCATTTTTTATTTGTGTGTGACAATTAACAGCGTTAGAAACTCAAAACTGACTGATTTCCAACAGGCTTTTTTTTACATAATTTTGATAATTACCTATATCAATGCTATTTATTGTCAAATTACCACGTCAATTTAAACATTTTATTCTAATATAATAATTAAGTCGCAAAGAGCGCCATTGGAAAAATTGAACCACAGCCCTAAGAATATTCTTTCACGATGCACTCGTATAAATATCGTGAACAATTGTTAGTATGGTGCAATATAGATGCAAGGTACTAACTAATTTATAACGAAGTACAATACTAGGTGCTTTGGTGCAAAGTATTTGGGTTGTGCAGGTGCGCAGGTGTAATCACGTGACGTTCTTGTACTCACCACAATAAAATTGTCAATCAACACCTGAATAAAACTCCACAGTTTATAATACAAATTATACATATATAGTTGATTGTACTGTATAGTACCCCGAACAAGCTTTGGAAAAAGAAAACGTCCCTGTCTTATTTGAATCCTTAAATATGCAATGATCTGTGTATGGAAATTACAACAGATGACTAAGAGATGCAATCCAACTGTTGATTTGCTATACCCAAACCGCTGGAGTTTTCAACGTTTACTTTGATTGACTCTTCTGGCACGTCATTCAGTAGCATAGATGAACATTAAATGGTGTATATCTAAGTGTATACTTAATTAAGTGCTTAATGTGGTGTATGATTAAGTTATCTAACAGAATAGGGGGTGGGATAGTGTACAACAGGCCTTAGACGCAAGACACACAGACAACACATGATACAAACACATATACATTATGCGTACCAACACAGAATCATATGCACATGACTGTCATGCATATGTAAGAAATGTGACCTTGACATACCCTACAATAGGTTCGTATTGAGGTCAGCGACATCATCATGCTCTAGTTCTGAAACATTCGACAGTGGTTAGTACAGATATCAACGACATTCGCATGCGCTTCACACAAGTTCGTCTGCATCATCCAAATTAGTAAGAAGAACACTAAAGAAGTAATTAAACATTTCAATGCAAGTTTGCATACTGTTTGCATACAGTTTTCTTACACTGTGGATCACAGACGCATGCAACATTTAAAAGAACAAATTCACTGTGAAATTATTCAAAGCATAGTTGCATAGACGCATTGGTTAAACGTAGAATAGAAACAATAGGTAAAAACAAACTAGGCCTACAGTACACTAATGTTGATCAATTTGTTACAGAATCAGCTACATTTATCATTTTACTGGACTCCTAATATAACAGTAGTATTGTTGAACAAAACACGTTTAGTTTCACAATTAATACAAACAGATAGCCAAGAGCTTCAAGAAAAACATACAACAATTAGACCAAATACAGAATAGGCCACATACATTGTATTTGTACCAGACATAGAATTAAGGGTTAAAATTCTGAAATCCAATAGAAGTGTGCATCCACCAATGTGAATAAAATAATAAAATCGAAATTCCTCTACATTACATTAATATCTGATATATATAAAACACTGAATTGAAAACATATGCAATTTAATCTTCATAGATACCTGAAACTGAAGGATCTGAGTCAGATAAGATATCTGTTTCTCGAAGCCAAACATCCTTCAGGTATTTCAACCCAGAATAAGATGGCGTCTTTGGAACTTCCTGTTTGTTCAGAGACCTGTTGTAAACAACATAGATATATGTGAAAAACGAAGGAACTCTTTTTGATTGTTAATCTCAGCAATTACTAACCAGAGTGTTTCACTGTTGTTTAATTTGTTGATTAACTCGATATATTGCGAAAATATTCTTTGTTCGGTTTTTCAATATTACAAAAGCATTTTTATGGTTAAATCTTAATTACTTTGAGTTAATAAGAGCTGATTTGTGTTTGGTTTCAATTGATCCTCTCTAATACACCTATTTGTATACTCATACTTTCGTCATTTTGATCACATTTGTCTCATATTGGATATAGTACAGAGTAAAGTAGAATATGTATTGATTACGTTTCTTCAGTATGCAGACCCTCTTCTAAAGCACCATAGTTATTGTGAATACATGGATGGACGGTGAACTCAACCTTCTTGTGGTCTTCACTGGATTCCCTCTCTACACTAGTCTCAGACTCAATCGTTGGCATGATTTGGAAAGAACGTTTGGAAGACCTACAAATAGGTGCTAAAGGGGTTAGAAGGAATAAAGGATGGGTAAATTGATATAACTACACACATATCTTTTACTTCCATGCCTTGCCTTATATTCAATGTCCCATAGTTTATCTTAAAATCCTTTGACTTCTTCGAAATAATTATTTATCAACAATAATAGCTTCTATATTTGATCAGATATCTCAATTCGTCGTTTGTTCAGAAAACGGGGTTTTGAGGGAATTTTGGTATGATTTTTAACATTACTTCCAAAATATAATTCACTTTCCATCCCTTCAAATGAGATCTGATTTTTCCGTTAAATACTTAAAACCAGTCCCTATCTATATAGGCTATTAGTATATACACGTACACATGAATAAAATTATTGATAGGATTACAATGGAAAATAAACTAACCTAGCCTTGCCCAAGTCGGTATTTTCTACTTATCTGATCTTGAATTATTACCATAATAATAGAAATCAAGATAAGTAAATAGACCGACTTGGGCAAGGCTAAAACTGGCATATATATATTTTATTGTAAACTTACTCTAAGTCTGTTAATTCTACAGAGTCGGAGCATGACAAGGCATCCCTCTGCGCTACAAAATATGACCGACTATTTCCAGAACCGTCGAGTGGCCAAACAACACTGTTGAGAGACTCGGAGAATACAGAGGCTTCGTCTGAATTTAAGGTATCTAAAATATATGCATTTGTAATTGTGACAACGTTACATCTTAAGAAATTTCATAATATCTAAAAAATATATGAAGTATCAAATATTGTCTACTTATGATTGTTTCTGTACTATACTCATTCATAACCGAAGTTGGTGTTTTGCAAAACAACATTTGGTTTACCCTGAGACGGCCGGCGTCCAGGTGGTATGAGAAAGTGGGAATTTGGCTGTTTGAGCAAGACCATTGGTTTAAGACCTGGCGACCTTGGTATGCCACCGTTGGATGCATGGACATCTTCGCCTAATTGAATCAGCAAGCTTTCAATTTCTCGATGTTTCTAGAAGTAAATATAGTGCAGGGTGACCCAAAAAATGCGACCCTCCATTTCTTCAATATTTTTCTTAAATGTAGGTTAATTGCTCTGAAATTTGGCACACAAGAACCTCATTCAATGTGGGATCCTCTGGCAAAGTTTCAATAATCATAGTCTTATATTGATAGAGTTATGGTCGTTCCAAAATATGCTCCAAATGTCATCCATTTCCAATGTTAGGTTTCTTCTTTCTGAACATGTAAACTCAAGAAATAATGTGTTCTGGGATCACAAATTCAAGATGAAGTGCTTCAAAGGCCCCTACATTCTGTTAAATGCACAGCTTGGGCTGCCAATTTCCAAACATGAAATCATCAGCCCCTTTTGGTTTGAGGTTGATAATGGCAACACTGTTACTGTTAACACACAGCGCAATATTGGCGTTCTAGGCAGTTCTAGAGTGACATAAAGGCTTCAATAGACAAGAACAGTGGTTCTAGAAGAATGGAGCTACTCCTCACACTTCTAATGATAGCATAGCCTGGCTCACTTGTCATTTCTATGAGAAGATTATCTCTCCTAGGACGGAGAACCCATGGTCATCCCACAGTCTTGATCTCAATTCCCCCGACTTCTATTTATGGGGTTATCTAAAGGATAATGTGTATGAAAATAACCCTACCGCAATTGCAGAACTCCAACAAGCAATGGCTGCAAAATTTGAATGCATCCGTGCATCCGTGTTATGAACAGTTTTCCTTGAACATTGCAAGTTTGTTTACAGCGAAATTGACGACATCTGGAGCATATTTTGAAACAACCATAACTCTATCAATATAAGACTATGATAATTGAAACGTTGCAAGAGGATCCCATATTGAATGAAGTCTTTGTGTGCCAAATTTCAGAGCAATTAACCTCCATTTAAGAAAAATATAGAAGAAATGGAGGGTTGCATTTTTTTGGGTCACCCTGTAATATTATATTTCATATACAGTATATGAACGTATATTGATATATTTCTGTATCTCATACCTGAGTGGGTTTGGGGTACATATCACCCGGGAATATATATCATATCTGAGGAGCGGGCAGGGTACATTGTATATGTCCCGCTCCAGGCTTTTACTATAGGCCTATCTTGTCATTTGAAAAAATGGAAAAGGTTATATCTACCCCAAACCCACTCAAGTATGAGATACACCATTATCGGGAAATATTTATATCTCCCCTTGGTCCCTCGGGGAGATATTTTATTCCTCAGGATATACCCTATATCCAAAACCTCCCAGTACATAACCCTTATATATCTTTAGATTTTGCCATGTAGAATGACTGGAATTTTTAATATCTTGACATACTTACATATTCTAAAATTTGTCGATTTCTAGCATTTTCATCTGTTAGGTCTTTAATCTTTTGCTGGACGTCTGTGTAACCAATATCAGTTGGAACCTTTGGCTTTTTTATTGTTACATGAATTCTTTTCTTATCACCCTTGGGATCTTTACGCAACTCTAAAAGCTGAAAATGTAATTGAGGTGCTCTTGACTCTTAATGACATCCATTTACACCCTGGGTGGACAATCAATCCTTATTACACATACTTACATTACTAAGGATTATAAGCGATCTTTTCAGTAAAAATGGTGACATTATCCTACTAAAATGGAGATTATGTTCCACAACAAGATCGCTTATAATCCTAAGTAATGTAAACAAACCAGGTAATAAGGATTGGTAGTCCACCCGGGATATTTACATACTTACACCTCGGTCACATTTGCTACGGCGACCGTATGGTCTATCATTTCTGCGGTCAGTAGCATCTTTACTTACGGTCGCCGTAAAACAAATGTGACATTCAATCAATCAATAAAGCCAGTCATCGCCTTTTTCATAGTTGATTTTTACATTTGTTTTTTTGCAAAGTAATATTTAAGCATTCGTGAAATGAGAGACTGAGACTAGTGCTCATAATTGTATTAGCAAGGTTGTTCTTGGGAACTTTTATATGAAACATTATATCTATGTTGACCAACTATAATACAACGCATATCTTTGACAAAATATACATGGTTGAGAGGAATCACCATACTGTTCAATTAGTGTAATTCCGTCAGTTATGAAATACTCTAATGGATCAAGAATCACTGGACAAGTTTTATGAAGAGGACACTAACAATATACAATTGATCATTTTTGTATATAATCCCAAGGAAATGGTGCAGGAGAATTCATCTGAATTGAGAATCATATTTGAATTAATGAATTACCCCTTGTATACATATCACACTAGAGAGAGAATGAACGCTTGTTGGAATTTGCGTAAAAATGAATTAAACATCTATAATGAATAATTACCTTTGGCACAAATACTAGACATAAGGTGATGGTTGTGCAGAAGATGATGAAGAGAGATAATATTATGAATGCAGCATCTTGTTGATCGTTGATGATGAAAGATATTGCTGCGCCAGAGACACACATTATAACAACATTATAGACACTCATTCCGATATACTTAGAATCATTTAACGCTGGTATACTGACATGACGTGTCTCCCAGGCTAGGAAACAACCAAATACCTGAAATAAAATAATAAATAAATTAAAACCTATAAGATATTTTTTATAACTTGTTTTATTTATAACTTGATGACGTTACTTGCAATTATTTTTGGCTTTTATCGATGTAAGTATTAACTATCATTGGTATTTCGGTAATGGTTTAAATAGCAATGCAATGTCTTTATACAATGGAATCTTCACTTACTAATAATAAGCCTTTATATGCATATATTGCTGCAAGCCATATGGTCATGTGATCACTGACACAATATTCCATGATAGGGATTACTTCTCGATCACCAGTGGCATCCACCTATTGGAAAATTTTATATTGTACAATATATAACTATGTTGTCAGGAGTACCTTATGACAAAAGCTCATGTAACCCACTGACAATCTTCATGGGTCATTAGCGCAAACTCGTCAACAGTAACTAAGTCAACAGTTTCGAGTCCATATTTGTAAGTTTATGATAGTTCATGATATTTCCTTCCAGATTCTGGGCATTACAGACACAGCATTCAATAACCCCTTTAATTTCTATACATAAGTCATTTCATTTACTAATTCAACACACTATCCTTTTTGGGGACAATGGGAACGTGAATGCCATGTTGCCAATCACATTGGGTATAATGGCGCCCGATCTGGCTACACATATTACATTCATTGGTAGAAAAAGGCATCCCTTGATCCCAGCAGCATCTAGCTACCCTGGGACAGGTTTCGAACTCATTTATCATTTTACACATTGGCTGACATACCACCAGGGCGGTCATGTTATTCCTCTACGTCAATACTCTTTTCCACACAAGGGACAGCCTCAAGCAATATATTTTCATTTTTTTAGATTTTGTTGATTCTTTTGCTTATGGTGCTGCAACTCTTCTGTTGGTCTTTATTCTCCCCAAGGATATTACCTCTAAACTATTATATCATATCAATAATCTAGGATCGCATTAATTTGTTGTTATCGTGGCATATGGATTTTTCTTTGAATCAGATGTGTCTTCCGGATAAATGAAAAACCCACATGAACTGGATACCGAAAGATATTAGCTTTGCCTAATTCGTCTTTAGGGTAATATATCTAAAAATCTATAAGTGTTACAAAGACAGTGATTTCACTAGCTGGCATGGTATATTGTCCATGCGGAACTTAGGTTACCTACCCTTGGGTCCAATCTTTTTGTAGAACGTCTAAGAGGGTCCACGAACGACCAAGTACAAAGTATGACGAGGTCGAGGCCGAGGAGAACTCCCACTATCATTATTAATTTGTAATCTTTAATTACCTAAATGTTGTGAAATAATAAGCAAATATTTTTCACGTTAGATCATGGTTTTGGGCTATATGGGGTTTGTTTTTCTTGACTGGTATGCACTTATAGTTTGCTTTTTCTTGCTAAGTTCCAGTACAACTTTTAGTCCTTCCCTTTGGCACTAGTGCTTATATATTGATCACATGGTACTAGACCCCCGGGTACTAGACTCAGTAGACTGACCGATCAGAATATGTTTTTAATAGTGATAGATACAATCTTCGTTGTAAACATTTTATATAAGCTGTATAATTAAATAATGTGTTCAATAAACTAATTTTATAAGTAAATAGAACAAATTACACACCAATGTTTACATTGCTGAACTGACAAATTGTATTTTGAAGCATTTTCTTATAGAATACATACCTTCTTTTGCAATTTGATATTAGTGAAAATGGCATGAACCCTCCATGTTTTGGCAAACATTGCTCCAAAGGCAAATGTGAACCCTATAGAAAGAACCCAAGCTCTAGCCTACAGGAGAAGAAACAGAAAGGAGGAATGTTGAGTTAGTATTTAATATAAGCCTTGATAAGACACAGTTGCCGGTAGCTGATATCAAATGAACCATAATTCCTGATAAATGAGATATAGGTCTAGCTATAATGGCTAAACCGTCTTTAAAACACAATAAATATTTACCTTAGTATCAATATAATCCAGGTAATCCTATTGTTTCAGTATAATGGTGAACGGAAAGCTAGATAAGAAGTGTTAATACTTGTATTTATCATACTAAAACTATATATAACTTACTGTACAGAGATAAGGATAAATGTGAGGACTAACAAGTCCACCATCTGTTCCTAGTAAAAACACACTTGCATACGTCATAATACACCCCACCATGATGATATTATTCATATTAGGACTTGACATTTTGATGTACCTAAAGCGAAAAAGTAATGAATAATTTACAGTGTTTCTCAAAGACACACAGCAAACATTTTGTACCCCTTAGCAGGCATATGTTTCAAAAATTAATGAAACACACTTTCTGAGACACGATTCCTATTAGTCTGTTGAATTCCTTAAGAATCCAAGGCATGCTCTATTATTTCTAGGAAAGTTTTATAAAAATGATGAAACCACGTACCTTAAAAACAAAATATTGAAATGTAAAGATAAAAATTCTTGGACGCCTTTTTTGCATTTAGTATTACATACGTACCTATGCTTTCTGTAATAGATGTTCAGAAGAAGAAATATGGCTGCGGCATTGACGCCGATGCCTGCAAGCACACATAGTATGGCATATGCAAGCAGGTTCACCCGCTTTGCCTCTTCAGTACTCAATGTTCTGTCCATTGGGGGACCCTTTCCTACAAATTAATTTGTAAAGTCAGATGGTTACCCCTCTTTATCCCCGAATCAATGTATATTACTTTCAGCTGGACCATTTCACTGGATCTGAACCCATGGTTTGCTATTTTTAAGAACATATGCTTTGAACGAGTTAACTCGTCAATGGTCACTAGGGAATGAGCAATTTTGAAAATATACTCGTCGACTTTTATTAATGCTGGTGTTCTTCAGGGGTTTGTTTTCAAAGTTGTCCCACGTATTTGTGTTGCCGTCGGACATGATGGACCAACAATGCTATGCTTAAAGTCAATATAAAATGTAATTGAGAGAATGGCCTATATTTGGCTAGGACCCTAGAAATGCACTAAGCCCAGTTTTGTTCAGTTGTAATATCACACAGGCTATATTGAGGATTATATTGAGTCGATCCTGAGGTGCATATCTTATTCAGTTCGTGTTACTGCAAAGAACATGTTACTTAATATTAACCCCACTGGACAAAACCAATGATAATGGAATGGATAATGCAGGGTAAACAGGGAGTTATTGAAGGTTAAGGTGCAAGAAAAGTCTTACATATTTCGTCAAAATCCGAAAAAACGATTTTGCCAATATATAAGGATTAATTAAACATCATTGTTACTAATATTTGAATCTGCTGTTCAATTTATTTGACTGTCAAAGAGGATTGGCTCCCAGGATCGAAACTCGATATTTTCCAACAATGAAAACGTCGAAATGTCGTTATTTTCTGAAATTAGCCTATGGCCGACTATAAATTGAAAATAAACAGTTCAAAAGATCCGAACCAATATCTCGACCATTTCCTGTGAGTTTTGGAATTTTTCGTTAAGAAATAAGATCAAAACTCACGATTCAAATGCTGAAGTGAACAAAATGGCGGCTGTTTGAATTCGAATTTTGTAACACGACATGCGCATATATGGGACAGAATATCGATGTTGCACTGGGAGCCAATCCTCCTTGTTTGACTTTGTAAAATTCTTATTATTCATTTAGTGTGCTTCCAGTAGAATATATTTAATTGGGTTAGAATTTGTCATCAATCATAAAACCAGTAAACGCGTTTCCATATGGATTTACTTTCACATTCTTATCAATATACCAGGCATGTTTTCATTTGATGTAATTATTATTGTCGATGCTTTGACCTACATAGGGGTCATACCATAATCATAATCAATAACATTTGTATGATTACAGACAACGAGGAATGGCGTAATCTACTTTGTACTCACCGTGCCACATCACTGGCTCGCCTTTATGGAGATCTAACACTTCTGAATCAAGATAATACTCTCCTACTTTGTACATGTCACCTCCTACAAAACAATTTCCCCAGTACAATGTCCCGATGAAATGGATGTAATATATTATCACAGCAGCAGCTACATTGACTACTTTCACATTAAGATGTCTATGTGTAAGTGTCTGAATGTGTAAAAAGACAGTTAGAAAATAAAGTTCTTGTATGTACGGGTACAACCAATAATCTTAGGAAATCTCAAATCCCAATCCAAAATCGACCTAAATGTACGACAGGCAATCTCTTTCTCCCCCTTTCTCACCATCCAGGAACTAATACCCCAATTGCAATACAAAAACCATGGGAAATTGTAGTGATTGCAATACATGTTGAAGAGCAATTGAAAACAGTAGTTCTAAATGAAAAATAGCTGTGGTTACTAAAACTATTACAAGATAGAGCTTTATGTTTTAAATGATCTTGGGCCGACAAAATCCATTTCAGAACTCTCAAGAGTGCCAAAGGGTCACATGGTCATATTCCATACAATACTTTGACAACGATAACCACCCGGGGGATAACCACTAGGGGAACAATGACTAGTTTCTATCCCTACTGCTCATAAAAATGCCACAACCGGAATCTGCCTAAAACAATGACTAGTTTCTATCCCTACTGCTCATAAAAATGCCACAACCGGAATCTGCCTAAAACATGTTTGTATTCTCTTGAGGTTTTGTGTGATTTTTATGATGTACTTCCTGATCGGACGTTCATGTGGAGAATACATGCAATTTATGCAATGCCCTATCATATTACGGAATTGTTTAATTTTTATGGCTATTATACAATGTGATGCGGATGGCAACACAAATTAATTAAGTTGATACAATTTATTCCATGTCAAAGCACTTTTTATGTGGCTTATAACAACTATTTCAATAGGGATAGCAGCTGGATTGATATTTTTTATACTGCATTTTCTGATTAGATTACTAGAAGTGTATATCTATTGAGTTGTATATGTAGATACCTTGGAATTGTCGATGCTCTATTTCTCCCAGTCTCTCTCCTTTGTTAAAGCGTACGACACCCTGGAATATGAGGATATGATACATTATTGTAAAGTTAATTGCGATACATTAATGAACCTTTGTCGCAGATGGAATACAATTCATTAGATGATATATTGCACATATTACTTACTTATCATTTATGATGATTTGAGTGATGCTTTTGTATATTGATGATAAAAGTAGACAGCTCACTGACACGCGATATATTTTGCTGATATACATTTTTATCGTGATTAAATTACAAATAGCACAAACAATCAAACAATGAAAAATAACAACATTACTTATCGATGAGTTTTGTCTTCATTTTGATTTGCAATGTCCCGTAGGGTGCAACATGTAAAGCCCGGTATACACCAATGGGGCAAAATCCCACTTGCCCCATCGAGTCCCATCTTGCCCCATCGAATCCCAATTTGCCCCATCGAATCCCACCAAGTCCCATGGGACCTTGATGACTTTGTCCCATCGTGCCCCATGGAGTCCCACGGACTTCATGGGGCAAAATCCCAAAAGGTCCCACGAGGTCCCACGCAATGTTAAGTCTATGGAGGTCCCAACTTGCCCCATTGGTGTATACCGGGCTTAAGATGTAATATTCATTGTTTTATCTCTTATCTAGCAAGGCATATCTGTTACCTTTCTTCATAAGCATGACACAAACAATTACGTTTACCTTAATTAGAATGTCACAAAGTATGGCTGTTTTTAGTGACCTTGATTAGCATGATGCAAAATATGACTGTCTTTACTAGCATGGTATATCTTTCTCTATGAGCACGTGACAACTACAGAATGTCTTTATTACGTTCCAAGGAGGATTGGCTCCCAGAATGCAACACCGATATTCTGCAAAACAATCACCTAGCGATAGCTTTGTTGGAGAGTATCGGGTCATTCTCCATGCAGTCGTACAAATTATACAGACACGAATAGCAAATGACGCATGCGTGGAGATTAAAGAATATCGAGTTGGAACCCTGGCTTCCAATCCTCCTTGATTACGTTCATAATATAATGGATACATTTCTATAAGCATGATACAAGTGACAATTTCATTTATTAGCATGATATAATTTAAATGGCTTCCCAATTAATTGATTCACAGGGTAATTTCCCTTATTAACTGGAACGTCCTATCAAAATTCAAATAGGTAAAAATACTGAATATGTTAATCCTTTCCTTATATTAATCGATACGATGGAATTCTACATACACTACAAAAATAAAATGAAAAATGAGACAAGCAGCTATTCTAGGTTAATCCATATGCAATATCATTGTAAACAAAAACCTCTTGATATGTTTTCAAAATACAGAATCAGTGAATGGTTATGGCATTGATCTTGAAGGTGAGTGGGAACATAACGATATACTAGATCAAGTGCCAATTGCTATATACCAATGCTAGTACAAGAGGGGGTCACCGAGCTATAATGAGTACTATTGGAATTGATAGCTTGAGGATTATTGAGCGAGTGGATGAGATCAACGTAATGGGACATTTTATCTTCAGTTTTGCACCCATCAGGTTCAATAACATCATGGAAATCATTAATGACTTCAAAAATAAATGAGTTTTTTATAAAATAGTAATGATACACTATATTACAAATGGCCTGCCAAGTTTGAAAGAAGTTTTATTTCTCGTAATGACCGCATTGGTAGAATTGATTTACTGTGAGGTGTTGATAGCTAATATACGGTAATTCATTATAACTGGACTGAAATTAATAGTTTTAAAGGCCTAATGAAATATAGATCCTTTCATTATATTGTCGCTACACAGTTGTAAGTTACGCCTTTGAACAGTATCTCAACATACCACAACATCCATAAGACAAACGCATCCCTTGTGACCTAATGTCTCGCCAAGCTGTATTTTTGTACCAAAATGGCAAATTGAAAACATACTCAGATTCAAAATCATCAAAAGCATGGGTGGGAAATTTAACATAAAAATTGGGCTGCCAAATTTTTAGATCATATCATCCCATACAATATCATTATATAAATCCCTACATATCAAGTGATATCATATTATACCTATGGTATCAAGTCATATCATATCATAGCCATATCATGAAACTCGAAAAAGGATGTATACAGTATACAGTGTGTATACTACACTCCCCTATATAAGTTTGGCCCACCATTTTCATTGGTTTATAGTATTGGTTTATAGTAATTTCCATCAAATCGTAAATTATGCAAAAATGGTAAATCATATGGTATTAGAAATGAGGCAAATGATCAATTCATATTCCCAATAACAAATAAAGATAGCTCATGTCATATAGACTGCATATACTGTAATGATCCAAAATATAAGTAATTAAATGTAAGCACGACGAATAACATGTTTTATTATATGCAGTATGATGTATGATCAAACAATATCCTAGATGCGAGTAGAAACAATCTTGATTTACGTCATTAAAAATTCAAAATTCAGTCAAACTGATGTCATATTTGGAATCTACATGTAAAATTACATCTAGAAATATGGTTTTGAAGAGTTTATTAACTTTGAAAATTTAATTTTCTTTGAAAATGTGACTTCTAGGTCGCGGAGATTCCCCATAGCCCCCATGTTGGAAAATCACAAAAATGGAAATATCTTTTCTTGTGTTTGGCAGATAATATTTTCTTTTACTGGACATATTTTAATTTGTATAACTATCAGACACATAAGGGTAATATGAAAAGTGAACCACTAAAACTGATAAATATTCAAGTTTAAGGGAATTTTGTAATACCCTGCCATGTTATTTCCCCCGAATCAGCCACCTGGTGGCGAAACTGGTAACTACCTACTCGCATCTGAGTAATTTCAGTCACTTACTGTTACGCCCTGGAAATGTGTGTTATTCAAAGAACTCCTCAACTCAGGTGTCCAGAAAAGTTGGGCTATTTCTTCCGATGCACTTCTTTTTGTCCTGCTATCGGGGGTACTAACCATGGCGTGTAGGGCCTTAGCTATGGTCCAGATCCCATCATACGCATAACCATGAAATTTACTGTAGTTTTTCTTACGTCTTTTGTTATATTCTGCAGTATATTCTGTAGTCGACTTTAAATAGAAAGTTTTTGGTGAATAAAAAGAATAAATAAGTAAATATAAGTCTCAAATGGGTCGAGAATAATACATAAATAGAATAGATAAATATACGTACAGTATTACAATCACATTTTGTTCAAGAGACGGAAGATGTATTTTGTCAAAGCAAAAGGTGTAGAAGAATGATTTAAACTTTACCCTCAGGGCACGAAAAAAATTCTAAAAACACATACAGAGTGCTCACTGCTGACACACCGATTACTATTATAGTATTTGGGTCGTCAATCATTGTCTATGTCTATCACGGTTGTCTTCATTTGATTTGAAGTTTCAATCATTATTTAAATTAAATAATTAATTCCAATAAAATTTTCAAACTAGATCGTCTTAATTCAAGTTCTGGTTAAATATAAACGCATTTTCGCAGTTTCGTCTATAAGAAATGTCGTTCTTGGTTTCAAAATTATTTTCAGTCATACATGTATTTCCAAAGGGGTTGTGTCGTTTTTATCATCATATTGCCCAAATGCTGCAGACATGTTTACAAGTCAATTTGTTCTACTATATATGGTCTTACCATTCCAGTGTCAGTAGAGGTAAACCTGGTCGTGATTGGATGTACATCAGTCGTGAAATGGCCTTCCAATGCCTTCTCTAGTTGCATTGGTGTACAGTCAATGGAGCTATCGTTCACCTTCCACCAGTGTGTGGGATACCCTCCTTGCAGAAACCACACTATCTTTGGCCCATATAGACCTTCATGGAATGCCTATATAAATAGAGACATTCTTTGGATGTGATATTAGATATATACAGTCTAGCATCTAACCGCTTAGATTGGGACCAAAATGGTCCCGTCGGTAAATTGGACAAAATCTTTTCAAGTCTAGTTATATAATGGTCCATTCATGAAATTAACTATGTGTACCTCCCCCATCTCAAAGGAATCACTCAAGTTCAACATTAGGTTATAGCTGTCTCAGGCTGATGCACATGATGTATATTTATTTGATTCCCTTGAGCAACCAGTTGAAAAATCTACATACTAGTATCTACATACTTATTTGCAACACATTTCAAATTGAAATCTTATTATTACTTAAACAACATACACAATATGAATTCAGATTAGCTAGTTTATTTTGTTTATTTTTACCGAGGGTTATGGATGAATTAATTTGATATCTAAATAAAATCTGTACTAAATATTATTTTTAAAAAAGGCATAAATATATCCCTTTAATTAGGGTTGACAAATTGTGTATTGTTTAGTAATTTGGCACAAAATAGGGAAATCCAAGATTATGGAGAGAGTGATTAATTAGAGATTCTTCAGCTTGGACTTGGGGGGCTAGACTCAAATAACAGGATCAGTAATGTGAATGTCAGCAATTATATTAGGCAAGAATAATGATCTGAATATTACTTAAGATGAAGGAGAGAGTTCTAGATTATATTTACAAGAAACTGTGTTCAACATGTTTGTATCTCAAGTTATCAAAATGTAAAGTTGGAGACATATCAGCTTTTTAAAACATATGAATTACTTTATGAAATGATATATCTTAGTTAAAACAGAGACAAATAAAAATGTTTTATATGTCTCTGGTTAAAATTGTTTTCTGAGCAAAACAGTTATCAGTTATCGGAAGAATACAAATTATTGTATGAATTTTGTGATTATCCACTTATAAAGTTTGTAGATGAATATTACTATTCTTGTAACTTGAACTTAATTAATGTCTTGATTTTAGAATTCACATTCATATCTTGTTGTATGTTTCTAAAGGATTGGCATCGATATGGAGAACTTTTTGAACACACGTTTCTCTTAAACCTAGTCATAAAAAAATCTAAAAAATTAAAACATCGTCAATTTAATGGTCATCTTTTGAATGGTAACAATATAATTTGAAAAAACATATATGCTTTCATCTATACATGATATTGTTTTAGAAAACACATCAAACACTTGTTTTGTTCTTGGTATCATGTTTTCCAGAGTGAAATGAAACATCTTTCCAAACCTCATTGGAACAAAGCGACATAAACATAACATGTTTAGGTCTCTCAATATTGTAATTGTACAAAGGAAATTTTGGTTGATTTTTAGAAAAGTATCTTGTGAAATATAAGTTTTATCTTGATTTTTATCTATTTTGAGGGGTTTTTGTTTAATTTTTTGAATACTTTTTTAAAATCAACCAAAAATTCCTTGAAATAACTATAATATTGAGAGGTCTAAAAACATGTTGTGTATGCTATTATGATCCAACAAGGTTCGGAAAGACATTTTATTTCATTCTCAAGAATTGATAGAAAGGACCAAAAACAATTGCACTAAAAAAACAAAAAATTTTAACAAAAACAGTTTTATAAAATATTTCTAAATAATTTTCGCATTAAATTGTTGTCAATCAGTCAACATTACATACAATACCGTGTTTTTTACAGATTAATGTTTTCAATGATTGGTTTAAGAGAAAAACATTGTTGAATTCAGTTCTCTATATCGATACCACTCCTTTAAGTATTGTATAAGGCTTCAACCTGCACTTAAATAAAATCTCCATTCTATCAATGAATATTTTGTATTCACTGGACCTAGTATGTGGGATAAATATAGATTACATACTGTATAAATTGTCTAAACTAAAATCAGTGATCCAAGTTAGTGAACAGCTCTGTATCTATATGATATCTTGCCTATTATATTCAATTTCTAAAGAAATGAGTCAATTAGTAGACACCCCAAGTGGAAATTTAGTGCTGCCTCCTATAAACCAGTGTTGAACTATCTGATGCCCATCGGTTAGATGCTAGACTGTATAGATAATACTAATTCAATTCAATTTTTAAAACCTTCAAAAATGAGTATTAGGTTCCAAAACGTAAATCAAGGGTATCTGTGTTGAAGATTATTTGAATTCTTGAATTGGTTCTCTTTAGTTTATAAGTACTTTCAACAGGGATCCTTGTTTTCCAATGATGTCATTATCTTCCTCATTACATACTATGGTTATATCTCGTTATTGCAGAAGAATTTGGATAAAAACCTTATACACATTAGATAACGTATTAACTTACATTACAAAATACTCTCCGCGCCATCTCAGCAGAAAACAGTCCTAAGATAATTCTAACATCTCTGGCCTGATATTCAAATAAAAAGCATCAATTTAATTGAGTCATTCGCAGATGCTACCGCGTCAAGTGCAGCTTAATCAGCCATTTCTATTCACTCCAATTGTAAAAATAGAATTTTTATTGTGAATATACAAGGAGGATTGGCTCCCAGGGTTCCAACTCGATATTCTGCCATATATGGGGATGTCGTGATTACAAAATTTGAATTACAGCCTTCATTTTTGTACTTCAGAATTTGAATTGCGAGCTTTGGTCTTATTTCCAAACAAAATATTCCAAAACACACAGGAAGTGATCGAGATATAATTGGTTCGAATCTTTTGGAGTGTTGATTATGCATTTTTAGTCAGTTATAATGCCAGAAAATAACGACATTTTGACATTTTCATGGTTGGAAAATATCGTCTTGGGTCTCTGGGAGCTAATCCTCTTTGGTGAACATATGGAAAACGGGAAAGCAACCGAAGATGGTCGAGTGAAATTCCGATTCTTCTTTAGGGTTAAGGGTTAGAATTTAAGGGGTTAGTGTTTAGGACTAGTGGTTAGTGTTTAGGCCTAGGGATTAGGGTTTAGGACTAGTGGTTAGTGTTTAGGACTAGGGATTAGGGTTTAGGACTAGGGGTAGGTGTTTATGACTAGGGTTTAGGACTAGGGGTTAGGGTTTAGGGATAGTATCTTCGGCTATTTCGGTTGAGAACCATAATGAAAACCTCTATGGACGATCTTTGCAAAATATAAGTAAAATACGAAGGGGCAATATGATTCAATAGTAGTTGGCGGATTATTTAGACACTGTATATTTAAATATATATTTAATATATTATAAATAATATAGGTTTATCATCATATGGTGTTACCTTAAGGTTTTGCACAGCAACAGATGGATCATCAGCGAACCCATTATTCTCTACAGCTAAGATAGTGATGTTGTCATCCCTCAACTGTTTTGTAAGATGATTGTCATGGACCTAAATTGATATGGTACAATTATGTCACTCATTGCGACAAATGAAAAGCATTTATACCATCATACGTATAATTTACGCACGTATATAACTATAATTTGTCTAGCCCCTGGTTCCAGTTTCCAATTAATATCTTGATGTGCTACTCTTAAAGTTGGCAAAACGGAAGCCAATGACAAACCAAGTGTTGATAATAGTGAGTGAAGAAGACTAATCAAGGTTGCGGTGTTTCCTGAATGATATATCTTAAATATTAAAACACCCGAAGAGTTTGTATATTATAATCTTACAATAAGTAACTGTTATAGCTGTTAAAGTACAAAGATATATTTTCAATCAAATTAAATTGGAAAACTGAATAGAGTTAAATTTGATATTTTCCAACATCATAATCTTGGGTGAATTACTAGAAGAATTCGTCAGTTGTTATACGTTTCTATAATACTTCAAGAGACTTCCTTGTATTGTAACCTTTTAGGTGATTTATGGTGAATATAGCAATATACGAAGTATCCGACAAATATCGTAAATACAATATTCCTCTTTGTCGCAACAATGCCATTTATTTAACAAATGTTTATGATGCTATGCAAATCTTCAATAATTTCAGCTGAGTAGTTATTGCACTCATGCTTGGTAGATCTACCATTATTGCACCAGATTCCTTCTTAAAATCACTTTTACACATGTTCTTTTTGTAGAAATATGATTCTGATCAATAAATTGGCCCTTAAGTGATGTCCTCAGGAAACTGAATAGCTACTGCATTTGGTCAAATGTCAGACGGACAAAAAATGGCCAATCGCTATATGTTGATTTACTTAGCTGATATTCCCACCGGTTATTAAGGTATAAATCAATTTTTTTATTCCACAGATCCAACAATTGCTGCGTACAGTTTAAAACGATGCCTTCAATTTTATCAAAAACTGAGATGCTGCTCAATTCATTTTCTATTACGTGGGGCAATGTTTGCTATGTAACGTGCGCCGGACTGTCAATTCGGATATGAAATGTTTAACAAAATGCAGGCAAACATTTTCCAGACACCAAATTGTGAAATATGTGCCCCGTATGCATTAACTTGTGAGAACAGTATTATTCATCATACTTTATGATGAGCATCGTATAAAGCAAATGAAAGAAACCATTCAACAGGCATTTCACGATTCATTGATTATATTTAAAAATGTAATTACAACGAGTGATATAACACATACTGAGATTAATAGATATGATAACTAGAATTTGTACAATAGAATAATTTAGCGGCAATTTAAATGAAATATTGTGCAAAAAGGTAATGGAAAAACAGCTGATTGCATCCATTAAGTGATGAATAGTTGTATTTTAAACGGTAATCAGCATTAACAATCATAAATTGAAGCTACTTCTTCTACATTCCCGTCATCTATATCAGGTCTCACTGGCAATAATGTTATTGTAATTACCATAATATACATTAATTGTAAACATTGTATTTACGCGATCGCGGCGTTTCCCCGTTATTGATGGAAACAGAAGAAGAAATGATCTCAAATGAATTATTCAGCATTTGTTTGGAACAATACTTTTTGCATACAAAAATGAGATCAGTTGAATACTAAATCATTTAGATTATACACATATTTATGCTGTATCTAAACCACCATGCCAACTAGCTTACTTAGAAGACATCTCCAACAAATTGCATGGTACGTTTCGATTATTGTTGATATAGTACAGAATCTAGAAAATTGTTCACTTACACACTAGAACGAATTTGATTTACTCCACAGACTACCAGTAAATTCAGCCTAACCATCTCAAAAAGATCTCAATATTATCGAACTTTTAGAATATGTACGGAATGGCATCATATAGGAACTGATCCTTTCGTGTTGCATTGATGTAAACAAGTTCAACCTCTCCGCTGCTTTGGCGGTTATTCTCTCGTGAAATTTCAAATTACATCTCAAACCCCTTTCTGTGTGGGGTGTCCTTGGAACTATTGGGGTATTCATGGATGTAATTGAAGGATAGCATTCATTGAGTTCAGTCTATAAAACATAATGAAAAAAATGTTCGAGGATTTTATAAGGGAATTAAATAGATGATAGTTATAATCTTCGATGAGAACGTGAATTACTCACTTTTTGATTTTTATGGTATGTATATATGATCTACGGCCCATTGTCGGTGCCAGCAAAACCTTTGCAAATACCATTAGTTCACAGATGACGTTTTTGTATTTAACTGGAACGAACGGTGTTTTCCTCCAAAAGTATGCTTCTCATAAGGTCAAATTTCAATATAGAGAAGTTTGAGCAATGTTATTGAAATATGACCATTAAAGTTTAAAAATATGAGTGTAACTGATGCATCAGTCGCATTTGCTTAACAGCTTTGAAACGGCGGTCGTAGCCATGAAGTGGAGAGTTACCTGCGGCGGTCGCAGAGAATCTGCGATGGCCTCAAGAGCACCCTCGCAAATCAGTCAGATCAACTTTTACATCAGTAATGCTCAATAAAATGATGATGACTATAGCATCTTTCGAAAAGCCGCCCAGCAGCTCCCAAACAAATGTTTTCTTGAGAATTGAGATATATTTTATACCAAATATAGAACTAATTGAAGATCTAAAGACTCGGTGTGGTCAGAACTTTAAATGGACCGGGCCTTTACGATGTAAGATTCCACCTTTTAATTTTTTCCAGATAACCTTAGAAGTCGAAAAATTGTACGTAAATAAGGTAAAAACTGTTGGATTTAGAAGTAAGGCATGACACGGTTGGAATGATGGGAATTTTTTCGAATCTTACAATCACCTTGCCTCTATATTTTCTTATTCATTAAACAGCATAAAGTATTGTATTTTAGTAAATGTATTTTCATCATATCATCTTTTCATAGCATTTATGGGGATTAGTTTTGTATTGTTTTTACAAATTATTAGATGACCATACCATATTCAGGAACATACAAAGCATTACATGGCAGCAGTGTATTCAGGAATATATACGGTTTAGTTGAAGTATATACAAAACATTACATGGCCGCGGACCTCTCAGTAATATATACGGCTTGCTGGTTCATGTATAATACAAATTAATATCCCACCGAGCAAAGTTCAAGGGGGATATAGCGATGCCTCCGTTCGTCCGTCCTTCCGTTCATGTGTCCGTCCGATAACTCAAATATAGGTTGGCGGATTTGATTCAAAGTTTATAGGTTCATGCCTTATGGGTGTAGGACCTCTGCTCGAGAAGACATTATTAAATCAAAGAGATTTTTAAGATGGCCACTGAATTTCAAAATGGCGGCCATTAAAATATGTAATCTTCGATAACTCAAATACCAGTGGAGGGATTCGGTTCATATTTTATATCACGATGCCTAAAGACAAAGGAGCTCTGCTCAAGAAGACATTTTTAAGATGGCTACCGAATTTCAAAATGGCCGCCATTTTTCGTAAAAAACGTAATCTTTGATAATTAAAATACCAGTGGCTGGATTTGGTTCAATTTTTTTATGCTGATGCCTAGAGATAAAACAGCTCTGCTCAAGAAGAAATTTTCAAGATGGCCGCCATTCATCAAAATAGCCGCCATTCGTCGTTAAAAATGTAATCTTTGATAACCCAAATACCAGTTGACGGACTTGGTTCAAATTTCATATGTTGATGGCAGGGACAAGAGAGCTCTGTTCAAGAAGAAATTTTCAAGATGGCCGCTATCTATCAAGACATGTTTTGTTCTTTGGGATTTGCTATTCCGTGGAGTTGCTGTTTTCGAGTTAAACGATGTAATTGTCTTACATGCACGAAGAGTGATTAAATTAAATGATTTATCTTTATTTTCTTTACTCCTTAACTGATGCTGTTTATAAGTGTTCAGGGAAAAGCATTAAATAAGGTATTGTCTAGACTACATATCACCAATAAAATCCTATAAAGAGAATAGGAAAACCAAGAAAAACAACGATGACAATATAAATAACCCTAGCGCATCTTTGTATGAAACGAAGAATAACATAACACGAAGAACAAGATCCAATACGAAAAACATCAATAGCTTTGCGTTCGTCTGTAGATGGACTTTTTGTATTTGTTTATTGTTTATTCATTACTTTCTTTTCTAGTTTTGTTTTCATTGTGGTGTTCATACTGGTATTATATGTACTCCTATAATACAGATATAGAGTATAATCTGTGTAACACATTTGGTATTTTGGTCCCTCAAAATAGTTTTAAAACTGGATGGTGTTCTTCTGTTTCATTTTAAATTAAGTTAATGGATAATCAGAATTTGAGGTTTTCGTTGAATTGTCCTGCTTACAAAGGTGTTCCAATTTGCAAGTTCTGTGCTCGGAATATACATACAACAGTCATATGTACAGATGTAGAACTCACCACGGCGTATCTAGAGTACCCTTTCGACGAGTCTTGGTAGATAGTCCCAACTCGGGTCCAGTTGTAATGCTTAAGGAGGGCAAGGACTGCGGGGTAGAGATCTATGTCACTTGGAACGGTGCGGAAGAAGTACGGGTATCTATCTCGTTCAGACAGCCCAGGATCAGTATCAGCGTATGAGAGCTAGAAGCAGTCATATAAATTACATATTGTATGTTTATTATGTTCTCTAAGGATAAAAATGTCGATTTATTTTTTTAAGTTGTATTATGACCGGCCATAATGACCCAAATGAAGTAACTAAATCAGAAAAATACATCGAAGTTATTTATAAGCACGATAGTTTTGTATTTTATTGATATTAATGGTTCGTTGTCTCTATAACTTAAGTTCTCGCAATCAAATCTATTTACGTTAGCATAACTTCTCTTCGGGAAATGAGTTAAATGGGATATTTAGCATTGGATGATATAATAATGTTTACTAGGGAAATTTTCTGATATATGGAAAGTGCTTTCAAATGAGTGTGTCTAATTTGAAAAGCAGGTATAATGCAATCATGAACTGACATTGATAATTTTTTTCAATTTGTTTTAATACGAATGTTAAATATGACGCATTAATGCAGTCAAATAGTCCTTTTCAAGCAGTTCGCGTCAAGATGAAAAATAAGCTCACCTGGGCCATCTCCCAAGGAACTGTAGTTTGAGCAAGAGGACCAGTGACTTGTGGACACGCTCCACCAAACAGCATAACTGGTGGTGATTTGTGGAACATATCAAATAAAAGCTTTGTCCCAACAGCCATGTCACACTGAAAATAGACGAAATAAAAATTAACGTGTATTAAAGTTAATATAATATTTTGACGTTCGTTGTTATTATGTACACTGACATAAAAAATTATATGCATATTCTCTGTTGGGTGTTAACTATAACCTAGGCAACTTGTTTTTCATAACACAAACGAACAAGAGAATGGTCAGATACACGTACTGTAGCTCTGCGCCGATGAATTATGAAAATCAATGCTACCATTGGAAAATTTGTAAAAATACTCTTAATGGGATTTAAACTTTTTCAGGAAGTAGGTCAAATAAATTGACTTATTCACTTTGGACCACCACAGGCTTTAAAAGCGTGATCCACCGAGAAGCTCTAAGCTTAAGCGTAAAGACTATTTAGCAGCGATATACATGGCGTGGTACGCTATCAGTAGTAGACGCCTAACTGAGAATATGTGACGTAAATAGCTTAAATTGAAGCATCCGGCACAGGCGACTGTCTTCATAGTCGTCACAATCATAATTATTCAAAATTACCACATTTTAGCAAGAATGATTCAATATCCATTTAATAGGTTTTTTGAAAGAGAAACGTGAAGTAATGCATCTTCTTATACTATTCTGACGATAGTATCGACTGTAAATAATTACTACTAATGGGTTATCTAAATTGTTAAACAAAATGTATAATATATTTTTTCCTGTCGGCACTCACATAATAATGACTGTGATAAGAAAATATATTCCGCCTTTGCATACAAACATTGCCATCATACTTTAATGGCAAGTTGGCCATTAAAACTTAGATACCGATGTTATGGTGACTGCTGAAAAATAATTGCCTCTACCTTTACAGTTGTCATCCACAGATGATCAAATACCATGGCAACATATTATTACATAATCTATCAGACAGGAAATTCGATGAAAAATGATGCAATTTTCCGGAGGGATAAAAAGATAATATTAGTAAATCTGCCGCATCTGACCTATTTATTGCCACATCGTCGACAATATATCTTATCAACGATCACGAAGATTTGACAGACTGCGAGAACTTCAACAGCAAGACATCCTTTTAAATGTAAAATAGTTACAAATTGGAATATCCCAGACTCATCATTTACAGCACATAGTACACTTGGGGCAAAATCTCAGCTAGTGTATCATATTAAACTTAACACAGGTCTCTAATCTAAATCAAATCGATGCTTTAAGTGCCATCGAAGGGAAAATCAGTCGGGTACAGCCCTTAGGATTCCATTGGATTATAACAATGTGTTTGACAGCCCATTTAGTGTATTCACTTTGCTGCTTGGTAAAAAAAATCAATTAAGGTCTAATTTAAATTAGGATCAAGTGTCTCAGAACATATATGCGTTAGTGTTGTTTCCTTGACCTCTTTGGGGTATATACACCCATCTCCATAATCTTGTAACCAAAAGTCCCCTTATCTGTTTATATTGTGATTAAAAAAAGTCGTCGAATTTGTCATCAATTTGCGAGTAAGTAACAAAATTAAGATTTAAACATTGACAGGTTTTTGGAATGTTATGAAAATTCACGGTTGCAAAACTTATGCCGGGGATTGTAGGAGCCCTATCTCCTCGAACCTCGGAAATGTTTTTTTATAAACACACACTCCAAATACACATATTTCCCTCAGTTTAAATTTTGAACCTTGTAATGTATCCAAAACCGAACGTACATAACAAAGCGGTTCTGGGTATATTCTCCCTTTTAAGGTTTCAAAATCTAAAAATGAATTACTCCATTCTGATTTATTAAAGTCCCTTTTAATCCAAATCTCTCTATTTAAAGGGATAGTAAAGACTAGATCGATCCCACAACTAATTTCTCTATTAGTTTGAAACTTTATATGAGTTTTTTGTACTGTTTCCAAAGCTTGGGATTCGGATGTGGATGGACAGAGTTGTATGTCCCAGAGAGATACAGCGATATCCATCCTGCTTCCTAGGTATATTCTCGCATGTTGTGTAGGACTTAGTAGATAAGGGATACACCAAGGTTAATGATGTGAATACAAGCTATGACATTCGATCAATCTGTATGGACAAGGCTGAATGCGCTCAAACAAGAACTTACATGTTTGGACAAGGATAAACATGTTTAGACAGGTCTTTATGACTAATGACATTGTTTGAAAGAAAAATATGAATAGCCATGAAACAACGTATTTACAGAATGTAATTGCATTCTAGCAATAGCATGGTGTAATCAGTATAATACTGATTCAAAAAGAAATAACAATCAACATTATCAAGGAAAGAAGTGTCCGTATTAGTACAGAAATCTTATTATGAAGAGTGCCTCTGGGAAGTATCAATGATTAGTCAAATGCAGAATTCTGAATCTAATTCAATAAAGTTGTAATAGAACGTGGTGTACGGTGTGCACATGTGACACATATCTTTGAGAAATCTGACAGGGTCTTGATCTCACCATTAGCGAAATATTACAGGCACTCACTCTCAAACGTCTTACTTTCAATAATGTGATTAATACAATGTAATATTGCAAACTAGAAGAACTTTCCCGAGCGATATACTCCAGATTTTCTGAGGGCCCAGAGGCAAATGCGAATCAAAGTTTTCAGTTTTGATAATAGCCACGAAAGGTAGATAAAGCAATGTGTGTGTTTAAATATGCAAACTCACTTAACGTCTTTTTAATTTTCCACATTCTTATGGATGGGCCATAAATGCACCACATTTTCTTTAAATGAGGACACAGTATTCTTTATAATTCTTTATTGGAAATTATAAAGCTCGAGTCCATACATGTACTAATGTTCTTTATGCAATTCAAAGATACTATCTCTTTTATGAACGATCGCATTGCCAAGTTCTTTATGAAACCATAATGCACTCTGATGACGTTGCTCTTTTAACAATAATGACACTGCTCTTCATTATGAAACTATAATGCACTGCAAAAGTAATGTTACTGCTCGGATGACCATATACCTTTAATTAATGCACGGATGTACTCCAAGCTGATTGGCCGAGACATACTTTGGCATATATGCTATAACACAATCGCTTCTGATATATTTTTTAACCAAAGTCACATATAATGGCATAATTGGAGCCTGTATCTCCAAGGAAAATATTTATTTGAATTCATGCCTCATTACCATGGAATATGTTGAAATATTTGGCTCATCCTCTGTACGGCATAGTTGATTCAGGTTTGATTGGTGAACCCAATCATATAAGATATAGCTAGTAGATTTGGGTATAGTAGGCCTAGAGCAATAAAATAAGTGAAGTTTAAAGCTTGAAAGCATCTGGCATTGAATATGTCTGTACTGTGACATTTAAATCACTGATTCATTTAGGAAATGAAACGAAAAACTCTCAGATCGTTATTTGTTCTAATTCCTTAAGTATACGGATATTCCCTAACCGATTGCTTATATTTAACCTACACACCCTCATCCTTTGAAGAATCAGAGTCAGTATCTCGACTGGTCTAACCGTGCGAAAGAAATTATCAGGCTTCATTGGAGCCCAGAAAGAAGATAATTGCAAAATTGGCATTTGGGAAACGAAGTTTAGTTCAGATCAGCTTTCTATATTAAATAATATTGGCTTAAATTTAATGGGCAGAAGGTCTCAAATGTTAAATAATATTGGCTTAAATGTAATGGGTAGAAGGTCTCAAATCCATCTTTAGATATCGTTTCTTGATCACTGAACCTTGGAACTCTACATTTAGCTATCGTTGAGAGGACAACATCGTCGATAAAGCTTAGATCTTTGCCGCATGTCTTGTATCGACCACTTCGAGCCTGCCTGTCTCTGCCCTATATATAAGGTGGTTTTGATAGATGATATCATACTTAGTAGCCGTATTTCAGGAAACTTTCCTTTTTGCATTTACCTTAATTTAGTTCAATTACATGATATCCATCTCCTATCAATATAAAGACAGCAGCATCAATATCACTTTTAAAGGTTTAATGTGTTTACAAACTCCAAGATAAATGACGGAGAATTCACCAACTTTGATTGATCCGTATAATGACGTTTTTATAAAGGCAAATAAACCAGAAATATGGTAATACGACCATGATAATGACCAATGCAGTTAAGAAATTGAAACTAAAATGTCACATTAGATCATCGTTTGGGATGCTGATTATTATGTCACCACCAAAAGTGGTGACATATTGTTATGGTCTCCGTTTTTTTTGCGACGGCGGTTGGTGGTTGGCGGTTGGTGGTTGGCGGTTGGTGGTTGGCGGTTGGTGGTTGGCGTCCGGCGTCCGGCGTCTGTAACAATTTCTTACAACTTCCTATAACTTAACAAATACTGTTTAGACTGACTTCAATTTTTTTCTAAATCATCTACATGTTCTTAGAAGTTCAAATCTGACTTTAGATTTGACATTTGACCTTCAATGACCTTCTCAAGGTCAAAAAGGTCTTTTTTCAACTTGCTTCACATTGACTAAATTTTTTTTCAAAATCATCTACATGTTCTCAGAAATTCAAATCTGACTTGAGATTTGACTTTAGATTTGACATTTGACCTTCAAATCTGACTTTAGATTTAACATTTGACCTTCAATGACCTTTTCAAGGTCAAAAGGTCGAAAAGGTCTGTTTTCAACTTGCTTCAAATTGACTAAATTTTTTTTTCAAAATCATCTACGTGTTCTCAGAAATTCAAATCTGACTTAAGATTTGACATTTGACCTTCTCAAGGTCAAAAAAGGTCAAAAAGGTCTGTTTTCAACTTGCTTCAAATTGACTAAAAAAAATTTTCAAAATCATCTACATGTTCTCAGAAATTCAAATCTGACTTTAGATTTGACTTAAGATTTGACATTTGACCTTCAATGACCTTCTCAAAGTCAAAAAAGGTCAAAAAGGTCTTTTTTCAACTTGCTTCAAATTGACTAAATTTTTTTTTCAAATTCATCTACATGTTCTCAGAAATTCAAATCTGACTTTAGATTTGACATTGGACCTTCAAATCTGACTTTAGATTTGACATTTGA